ATAAAAAAAATAAAAAAAATCTTGGGTGTTTTTCGGCCCGCCCGGTTTGTCCGGGCGACCCCCCCCGGGCACGCCCAGGCGGGCGCCGTCCTCACCCAGGGTTTGAGAAAATATTTGTAATAATGGAATAGAAAAATAAAGAGAAATAATAAAAAGAAACAGATCTCTACTTATACTAATTGCTGTTCTTTCGTCTGTGTGATGACGTCCTATGAGTGTATAGGTACCACGTGAAGCCCGTGTGATTGGACACAACACACAAGTACATAAGCACCACAACATAGCAACGACAAGGTAAGTACGGACACAATCATCAACAAACAGTTTATCAGCATCCTTCTTCAACCCGCTGTGTCTTCCTGGTGTCAGTGCGATGTTGCCCTCTTCCTGACAGCTGGCATTACTGCTGTTTCGTCAGTCGTTCAGTCAGTTGTACCGCCGTCGTCTTCAGAATGCTCCTCTTACTTGGCAGTAACCTGCCTGCCACATGTCAGCCCTTGAGTGCTAACATAGCAGATCCTGCCACATCAGCACAAGTATCCAGTCAATCAATAAAAAGGGATGCCACGTCCACAAATGTGTGCACTGTCCTTTTCACGTGCCTCTTCTGCGTGTCGTGTTGTGATACCATCGCCACTCCAGCCAATTGAGACAATGCCACATCAGCCAATGAAGACCGATGCCACGTCATCAGGAAGTTGACACCTCAAGAAGACAGGTCATCACCCCCTGCCATGTCAGCAATCAGTCCTGACTTCCCAAAGGCCACGTCAGCTTCTATAACAGACCTAGTTGCACATAGAGCGCCATGTCAGCGATCACCAACAACCAGGTCTTCAGACGCGGCACATAATATGCCACGTCAGCAAGGGATCGCGATGCCACTTCACTATCGTGATCCAGGCTCGCGCGCAATAACTCTCGGTCACAGTCCCTACTGCCACGTCATCACCTACTCAACACACGTGTGCACTATACTTACCTATGCATCACCTGGCGCGTACACACGTGCAACCGTCGTCGTTAGGAGAACTGCTCTGATACCAGATTGCAATGAGCCCAGATCGTGAAGACAGTCGTCAACAATGCAAGCCCAGATGAATGTCAACCAGTTGATGATTACCAATAGTCAAAATTGTGTCCAGACAGAATGAGATGAGATAATCATACACAGACGAAGGAGAGAGGAGGGGGATTAGACAAAGGAGAGGAAATAAATACAAGGCCCACTCCTGCTTCGGGCTCCCTCCTCAATCACCACCTCAATAATCAATAGTCAGAACGAGTATCTGAAGTAACCTCAATGTACCACGTGGCACGTCTAATCAGTCCCTCATCAATGTTGGAGCAATGTCGACATGAAGACAACCAGGTACGTTGTCAGGCGGCCACTAGCAGTGTGCCGCCTGAGAACCGCAGTTTTGGGACTTAGGCTCAGGGACGGATCTGTGTTTTGATGGTAGTCTCGTATGACCAGGCAGCCAAAAATTAGGGGAACCCAGGGCACCCCTGATTTTGGACGCACTGAACTTTATGAGTAACCCTCAAAGATGGCGAGATGGGTGACCGGACCCGGCATGTCTAGGGACTGTCATTTCGGACCGTTCAAAGGGTTAGACCCGAATTGACCTGCCGCGGAGAGGCATCAAGGGAGTTGACCTCGCCACCACGTTTTGTAGCATACGACCGGGGCGAAATGCGGCCTCAATTTTTTGTTTATTTTAGTACCGTAATTAAAGATGGGAAGGGGGGTTAAGACCAGTAGGGGAGAAGGGAAAAACATAATATCCCCTAATTTCTTTATTTTTTCACAGCATTTAATTCTAGGGGGAATACCGTTGTTATTTTATTTTCCCGACAATTAAATTAAAAAACATAGAAAAAGATTAAAAATCGTAAAAGAGAAACAAGGAATTCGGTCATTTATTTAAACTTCCCGGGATTGAATTTTATGGAACTTACGATTAATTTACTATTTCCGACAACAGAATTAAGGAAAAGGGAGAATGATTAAAAACGATAAAAGGGACGGGAACCCATGACTATTGGGAGATTGGGCTAATTTCGCCTTGATTACCCGCCATCAGCCCTGATCCCGGATTGAGCATTTTCCCCGTATTTTATCAGTTTCCACTACTGCCGATGGCCGAGGCTCCCTGCGTCGTTTTCGCTGGTTTGCTTGATTACTAACATTATCGCAATTGGGATGTTCTGAGAGCGGGGGTCGCATGGACAGGTGCTGCCTTGGGTCGACTATGGTGTTTGGTTCGGTACGGATATGAGGGTTGTTACGAACTGGCTACGTCCTACGGTATTCAGTGTGAATCTGGTTCGGAATGGGCTCGGCGGCACATTGCTTCAGGCTTGGGGCTGCTACTGTGACTTATTTCTGAGTGAGCGGCCACGATGGAGATTTATTACCAGGTTTGGGACCTTTCCCGTAGAGTACTTCCACGCCCGGCGCCACTATGACGGTGTGTTTCAGGATCGGTACTATCACGGCATTGCTGCACAAGTACGGTATTCGGCGTTGGTGACGGCACAGGCTGCTGTAATTCAGAGAGGTCGGGTTCGGCTCAGGTATGGTGACACAAAGCTAGCATGACTACGGGTCCCGCATTCTTGGCGACGGTACGATCACTGGTCCAGTCCGGTGCTGATATTTTGACGCGGTGTCGAATTTGGAATGGGTTCGCCTTGGTATGTTTTGACTTGACGGGGGCCTGGGATGTTGGTTCGGTGACGGTATAGCACACTGTGGCCTGGCCCTGATACTTCGAGAGGTCCAAGGCTCGGCTTTGATATGACCATTGCGGCTTGGCACCGCTGACCTCGTCAAGATACTTGGTATACTTGGGCTGTTGGAACGACATTGAGACTGGGACTACCGCAGTGCGCTACTTTATCTTCGGCTCGATTTTGAACCGCTTTTTTCTCACTTTACGACTCTATTTTGGTATGGTAGCAGGTTCACTACAGGCTCGAGACTTGTGTGCCTGGAACGATGCCTGCACCTCAGTTCACGACTGTGGCTGGGTGGGTTTGTTACTTTGGAACGATCTCGGATCCGACACTGGCAGGACACGCTTCCGGCTCAAGTACGGTAATTGGCCTCGGTAGGGTAAGGCTGCTGGTCCGGCGCAGGTATGGAACCGGGGTTTTGTTTTCATTTCTCAGGCCCTGCACCTGCGAAAATTGGTGCTGCTCCCGCTGCTGGGCCGTTGGGCCCTAAGTGAATCCCCCTGCACCGGCGTTGAACCTAAGAGCTTGAGTTTGCGAGAGCCCTCAGTCTGCTGTGACCCGCGGACTGGGCTGGTGTTCACATATAGTCTGACCAGTGAGGCATTAAAAAAAAGGGGGGGGAAGACCAGTACGGGGGACATCAGACGGGCGTGCAAGGCGTACCCAGTCCACAACCATGGCGTTCGAGAAACAGTCAGCGTGAGAGCTGCGTGAGGGGCTTACTGTATGAGCGGCTGAACAATCAAGAGGACGGGTGAAGAGGGGATTCGGGGAGAGGAGGATTGAGGACACGCCTGGTGTACTCCGCCACGAGGACAACCGGTTTCAGCGAGGGGTAACGGCGCGCTAGGGAGGAGGCAATGAGACAGATTCGGGCGTGCCAAGGGGACGTGCCCGGCGTACCAGTCCGCTGATGCTCTCAAGGCAGAGAGCAGATCACCCGGTTGACGAGAGGGAGAGAGAGAGAGAGTGAAGAGGAGGACATTCGACAACACGGCGACGAGAGCCTCGCTCAGGTGACCAGGGAGAACACGGTGCACTGGAGCAAGCGAAAGTGCCGAACGCTGCTCGCTGGTATGGATGCGTGAGTAGCAGTCACACTAGCTGCTGCCCATGCGAGTTCTCCGCTGGCGGGGAAGAGAAGAGGGCGAGGCAGTCACAGAGGGAATTCAGCGTGTACACAGCGTACGCAGCCCTCAACACTACATTTGCACGGAGCACGCAGCCCAAGGAGCGGGGAACCAGAGTATTGCCCGCCCCAGTTCGCTGTCCTTGCCCCACCTAGTAGTCAAAGCAAGTTCACAGGGTTGGTTGTGGTAGGTGCTCACTTATGCGGGTAATCAGCGCACGGGAAATGCTAATTAATCCAGCCAGCACGACTTGCTGGCCAGCTTCCACGTTCGCGAAAGGATGCACAGCGAGAGCCAATCAAGGGTACCCATCAACTTACGGGAAAGAGGTAATCCGCAT